CCCTGAATTCCCGGGAATCCCATCCCATCTTCCATCTCCCATCCCTGAATTTCAGGCGCTTCCCACGCGCCCTATCCCAGCCTCCGGACTCTCTCCGAGGGTTTATCCCTAAATCTGTGCCGAGCTGCTCCGAGCTCCAGAGGTGACATCTCTGAGCCCAGCCTGGGTGGAGCTGAGCCAAGGAAAATGCTCCCAGCATCCCAAAAATATTTTGGGATTCACTCCTGCAGCCAGCCCGGTTCTCAGCCGCTTTTCCAGCACAGGACAATTCCCAGAGAACTGGAAGAGGAGCTCGGAGGGATCCCCAGCTGGCCAAAGGAGTTCTCAACCACCAGGAATTACCCCGGGAACTCCACCAGGGAGAAAATTCCCATTCCCAGCTTCTCTCTTCCCGATCTCAGCTCCATTTGGGCTCCACATCACTCCTGGGACATTTTTTTCCCCTGATTTTTGAAGGATCAAATCCCACCCTGCTCCCCGTCCTCTTCCATTCCTGGTTTTGTGGCAATCCTGGGGTTTTCCAGGGCTGGGATCCATGGAAAACCTCGCTGGGAAGTGCGGGGGAAGGAGAATAAATGGATACCTCGTTCCTACTCCTGGGATGTGCAGTTTTCCTTGGATATTCCCCCTTCCAGCAGGATTTGAGATCACTCCAGCCCCGAATCCAGGGAATGATTGGGATGACCTCACCCAGCAGAGATTTGAGGGATCTGCTCCAGCTGGGAATGTCGGGATCTGATCCGTGATCCCACTTACGGCGGTTTTATGGGAAAACTGCTCCCTTCACATTCCCACAGCTTTGGGAAGGGAGGGAATGGGAAAGGGGAATTTTGGGGATAAAACACCATTGGGATGGGAATGAGGTGGCGCTGGATCACCTCTTCCTGCTCTTAAATCCCAGAATTCCCAACTTCTTGGGCTGGAATGAGCAGGCTCCTGGTGGATCCCAAGCACCCCAAGATTCCTTTGGGAATTCTCAGCCCACCCTGCATGGAGATGCTGGATCATGCTGGGATTTCCTTGGAAGTGGCCAGAGCTGCTCTCTAAAGGATCCCAGGGACCCCATTCCCTCCCTCTGGAATGTTCCCAGCACCCTCAGGACGGTTTGGGGGCACTGGGGGTGATTCCCATGCTTTGGGGTTTCCTTGGAGCATCTCCTCCCTTTTCCCAGGATTTCCTCCCAGCCCATCCCAACCCCTGCAGCTCCAAAGGCAGCCTAAAACCCCTTTAGAAAATCCCTTTAAAAATCCTTTTTAAAATCCCTTTAAAAATCCCTTTAAAAATCCTAAATATCTCCAAAATATCTTTTAAAAATCCCAAAAATCTCTAAAATCCATTTAAAAATCCCTAAAATCTGTGGCAGTTCCGTGCTACGGGCGGGGCTGAATTTTGGGATCAGTTTCCACAGCCCCACCCAAGGCTCCCTGGAGATCCATGGAATTTGTGTGGTTTTTGGGATAGCAGCAGCGCCCTGGGCGGGATTTGGGAATTTCTTCCCCTTCCTGTTGCATCACGGCTCGTCTGGAAACTCCAAATCCGCATCCTCACCCCTCTCATCCCAGCTTGAATTTCAGGGATTATCCTGGATCCCGCTATTCCCAGGGATAAAACGGAGTTTAAAAGTCGAATGCTGTGAAATGAACCCAAAACTTCCATTGGGGTCACGGTTTTTATCCCACAGTGGGAAAAATTTGTGGGAATCCAGGAGCTCCCCACAGAGACCTTGGCTGCCCTGTCCCTAAAATACCTCTGGATAAGGAATTTTGGTGCTGGAGAGCTCCAGGCTCTGCTTTTGGGGTCAATTCCATTCCCGGGCAGCTGCAGGGGGGGATTTTGGGGTATCCCAGGATTGTGGGGGCTCCTTCCAGGTTTGGGATGGGGGGGAACAGGGAAATTTAGGGGATCTTGGGATGCTCCACAATTGGGAAAGTTTTGGGGTTTCTCCAGCACTGGGAAGGATTTGGGATAGCTGGGAATGACAGAAGTGTCCCCTGATCCAGGAGGGTTTGGGACAATCTGGGGGAGCCCAGGAGCCACTGTCTCAGGGAATTTTGGGATTTTGGGATGCACAGACCAAGAGAAGCCCAGCTGGTTTAGATAAAAAAAAAGGGAGTTTATTCAAGGTGTTTATAAAAAAAGTAATTATTAATTCAAGGTATTTATTAAAATTGTTTCCTTATTACAGGTGTTTATGATGGGTATTTCTTAATTAAAGGCATTAATTAAAGGCATTAATTAAAGGCATTTATTGCTGTCCCTACAGGGCGTTACAAGGCCAGGGGGCGGCAGGGTGTGCCCAGATCCCACTGGGAATTCCAGTGCTGTTTCCAAGTCCGAGGGCCATGGACATTCCCAAAATCCCCCGAGGGTTTCCAGGGACACCTGGAGAAGGAATACCTGTCCCGCTGGGAATTCTGGAGCACTCGGGGAATGTTTATGGCTTCAAGGCAGCTCAGCTTCTCTGCTGTTCCCAATCTTTTCCCCATTCCCACCGGGAACACTTTGGGAATCTTTGGCTCAAGCCTAGTGGGTCCAGCCCAGACGGGTTTTTGGGATGATGGTCAGGGGGTTTTTGGGATTCCCGCGGCATTCCAAGGCCTTGGAGGTGCTCGGAATGCTCCTACAGGGATAAAACTAGTGAATTTCTTCCCAATCCAAGGCTGTGGGTCCAACCAATCCTCCGTCCCTTCTGTGTCCCCCAGGACCTCATTCCCAGGGATTTTATCCTCGGATCCCTCCCCGTTGGCAGTCGTGGTGGCCCTGGGGCGGGATTGTCACCACTGTCACCTCCTGTGGTCACCTCAGATCTGGGCAGGGAGAAAAGCGGGAAGTGGGGACAGCCGGGAATTGGTGGCAGATCCCGGCTGGATGCGGGCTGGATCCTCCCCACGTTCCCTGAGTTCCTCCAGGAACGGGAACGGCAAGGGCTGGACCACCCACCCCTGTGGTGGCCCCGTGGGGCTCCGGAGCACTCCCGGATGCCAGAAGCTCAGCAAAGGCACTACGAGAGGAAAAACTACGGAAAAATCGGGAATCCCGAGGCGCCGCTCGCCCTTCACCAGAGCAGCAGCCCCAGAGCCAGCAGCAGAATTCCCAGGCGGAATTCCCGGGCTC